AATGTGATCCACAAAAAATCACCTAAACTAGCCAGTGTGAAATGCTGGTGGAATAGATGTGACAGTCTTTTATACCCCTAAAACAGACCTACCTTTAGACTACAGGATTATCCCTTCACTGGGGACTGTCATCCATGTCCTCAGGATTGACTTAAGCACTTTAACTTCAAAACATTTTCCTGACAAAGAGTCAGAGACCATGGAAGATCACTTTGCTTCCGTCACTGGTTAGGCCATTAGGAAAAACTGCTTAGGGTATGGGGGGAAAAAAATAGTACAAACCCATTCTTGGCCAAGTTACTAAGCTGGGAGAGTCCTTCAGTTAAATCTCCTCCTTTCCGTCAATCAGAAAGAGGAATTATCCAGGTCGCTCTCAAACCTGGGCGAGTGCTCCAACTTCGGGGCTAATTAGGAAAGGGTGAGGTGAGAAGGGGGTGGGGACACCTCTTCCCCTGGCTGTCTTGTGCAATGACTGATACAGTAGACATCTCTGAGAAAACCTACTGTATTCTGCTCCAGAGATGAAATAAAAAGGTTTATTCCCAGTTTTGGAATCCAAATAGTTAAGTGTCAGTTAGGTGTCTAGCTGCTCAGCACTCAAGACTCAAACCTAAAGCAGAAATATAGGCACTCAGGGGCTTTTAAGAGCTTCCAGCATTAGGCAGGAACTGAACAGGGATTGACAATCTAAATTTTGGGAGATAAACATCTAAAATATTTTAGTTAGCTATCCTTAAAAGCATATACCTGCATCTTTAGATGCCAAAAATATTAAAATCTAGCAGTGACAGTATGCAGTGGGGAGCTGGCCAGAACCCAAATAGTTATAGAAGCAACCTGGCAAGGTTTCTTGAGTCAGACTGCCAAAGAAAAATATAGCAATAATACTGAAAGATTCGGTCTACAAATGAAGTTCCATGGAGGCAAGAGACTAGACAGGCACAACAGCATGTAACATGGGTACTGTATTGTGCTGGAGAACTGCAGTTACTATGCTCCCTTCTATGCGTTTTATCAGGCTTGTTCAACATGCGGCCCACCAAACCATTTTATCTGGCCTGCGGCGCCACCGCCGCAGAGCATAGAGCCACCGCCGTGGAGCACGGAGCCGCCGCCATGGAATGCGGGGCAGCAGTGTGGAGTGCAGAGCCGCTGCTGCCGCAGAACGCAGAGCCAGCGGTGGCGCGGAGCATGGGGCCGCGGCGAGGCGGGTAGGGCCGGCCCATGGGCCCCAGCCGGCAGCGAGGGGAGGGGAGCTGCTTACCCCCACGGGGCCCAGGGAAGCAGCCCTGCGCGGGAGGCCAAGCAGCAGCTGCTGGCACCACCTACCCGCGCCTGCCTTCTCACCCGCCTGCTTCAAGCCAGCCCCGCTGCCCTGCCCTGCCCCACAGCAAGGTGGCACCTGCTCCCCCGCCAGTCTCCCTCCCGGGCACTGCGGCTCTCCGGGCCCAGCCGCCCGCATGCGAGGCCCTGAGGGGGCCGCTTCTCATGTGCTGCTGGGGATGGGAGGAGCCTGGCAGTGTA